ATAATCGGATGGGAAGACCGACGCCGGCAGGTTGTTCCATTCCTTAGCCGCACGGATGATAAATGACGATGCGAATCTCTTTGTTCTTGTGCGTGGAACGTCGACAGCAAAAGGGTGAAGCCCCGCCGAACGTCTAGTTGTCCGATGATGGAAAGGGTCGGGAGGAATCAAATGTGAGAAAGTGGCAAGCGAAGTGATTCACCTGATGCTAAGTGATAACCGCGGCCCATGGACATTTGCAAGATCCTTAGGGTTGCAGATGCGTCATCGTCATCACTTCAGTCTCTTCCACTGCTGAACACAGGTCTACACTTCACCTAGTGGGGAGTCGTCCTACACTGCTGCTACTCGAGAACCTTTCTTCCCCAACGATTACTGGTCCTACGAGCTATATGCAAATGCGTTCCACCCTTTAAATAAAGTGGGCGCCGGTTACCTCACTGGCCAGACGAAACGCAGAAGCGTAACACTTCTACTTCAAGCAGGTCTTCTGTGAGGTCTTAGTTCTTCCCCTGGCGGACCTGTCCTTTTGCACAACAGTCAAAATTGTTGCGCGGCCCTACCATAGTAAAAATAACATTATCATTTTATTTCACGATAGCAATATTTCATTGCGTCATTGTCATAACCCCTCTCCCTTTTTTCTCGTATCCTCGCAAACTGAATAATAATCATTATATAGCAAATAGAGTAAAAAAAGTCCGAATTCCGAAGCAATTTAAGTTAGTAAGTCCGCTAATCCTCAGTGGTGTCGCGGGTGGACTATACCCTGATACCCTCTTTACAAAGAAGGCCTTTGCCCAGCAGTGGGGCAAATATAGACTGTTACTTTACTTTACTTTAGATTAAAAAAATAAGTATCCGGTATTATTTTTTATAGATTAGGAGATAAAAGAGCAAACCTGTACGGGGTTGGTGTTGCATGCCATACCAATATTTTCAGAAGAGAAAGTGATCTTTTGAAAATGTTTTGGATATACCGTTGGCGTAATGAATATTTCGAGAAAAATCATGTACAGTAGAAAACTTCCATTTACGCGGGCTACTGAACAATAAATAAAATAGCATCGATGTTTGGCAGTAAAACACGGTGTGATATTAAGTGATACTTTTGTTATAATACCAACAGTTCGATTATATTGCCTTTTGAGGGAGATAAGCCGATAAGAAAAGCTTAGAATCTGTTCAGATTCGATGAAATCTAGCTCGATGCATCGTTTACAGTGTTAATTATCTCGTGTTATGCGTTAATGTGAAATATTTTACAGTTAATATTAAAAGGTGCATAAATACTATTTATGACCGCGCAGTAATCATTATTCCAAAACAATGTATTTCTAGATTAAATAATTGGTAATTATATTAAAGAGGCTTTTATTTTATTATTTTTTTTTATTAAAACATCCAACAGAGCTTATTAGAAATATGATGACTCTTTGACCTGCATTTCTCCAGGGCTTTTGTTCATTATCATATTATATGTTTCATACTTGTTCCAGGAAACTGTTAAGTCAGAGAGTCAGTCAGTAGACTAATCGTTAATTACAAAAAATATATTCTCTCTTTGTCATCTCCCATCATGGTCGCCCTACCGACATAGCACGTATACAACGGTCCAAGGGAAAAATGCAAAGTGCGCAGTATTCGCCGCCAGGCCCGTGTGCCATCTAAACGAGCACCTTCCCTCCGAACTGGCACATAACGGAATACTCCATCCAGGATGTGGCACCGACGTATCGTAGCGACCCCGAATTTTTTACCTCCACGCCAGCTCCAACTACGCACGGGAATTATCTAGTAGACCCTCGCGGGAGCGCACACAGATAACGTATATCTTATCCATACTGATATTATAAATGCGAATGTAACTCTGTTCGTCTTCACTCCAAAACTACTGAACCCGATTTAAATGAATTTTGGTAAACACATAGTCTAGAGCCTGAGAAAGGACATAGGCATTTTTTGATTGGAAATAGTGTTGTAAAGGGTTAAAAAGAGGGATGAAAAGTTGTATGAAAGTATTGTCATTTTCAGAACAAGAAGGATAAAACTTATATTTTAGGCTGTTGATTAGATACAAATAAATATGGCATTCAAAGTTTGTAAAAATGTTACCACGCGGACGAAGTCGTGGGTACAGCTAGATATAGATATAAATATATATAGATATAAATCGAAATCGAATTATATCTATATATTATATAGATATAAATCGAAATTGAAACTTTTGTTTTTTTGTGGAACCAATCCACTAATGATTTTACCACACAGCCAATAGCCATAGGCGCTCTTCCCCAACGGTTATCGGTTCCACGACTTTCAGTTTACGTTATTATAATATTAGGCTAGAAATCGTTCGGGCTGCCAGCCACATGATAGATCCAATAACGCGTTGTGATAAACACACGATATTATATTATGTTGAATGTTTAATGAGACTCAATATGCGCATAATCATGTAAATACCGGAGATGTGTTCTCGCTCCAGATACCCCGCTCAAACGGTTTATTACAGCCAAAATTACAAGACGAAATATCAAAAGAAAAGCACCGAAAATGTAAGCGGTGATATCATAAGAGAAATTCTATAACAAAAAAAGTACATACATCGCATTTTATTACTGCATTTCTTTACAATATTTTTTGCATTTCGTTTAGTAAATTATACTGTTTTGTGCTACTCTGTACAGAGGAGGCCTTTGCTCAGCAGTGAGACGTATATAGGCTGTTTTACTTTACATGACTACTTTGTAAGTGCATGAAAAGAGCGTTTATAAAAACCTACTATTCTCTGATATTTCGAGCATCCCAAACCGAAACGTGCCCACATAAAGATGAGTCTCAACTAGCAAACTCTTGCAATATCCTTTAGCCTTTGAATCCTCAGTAAAGTGCCCTCAAAATATCCTTGCTACTAGGTGCTACTCTCCGAAAGTACGCTCAAATGGTTAGTCTAGACGCCCACTTGTAGAGATAAAGCGCCTGTTCCTAACTTTAGCTACTCCTGAAGCAAGTGTGTAGTGCATGCTAAGTACCTATAACGTAACGTACGTTAGTAGCAAGTATTACATTCTAGAATGATATTATATAAGAAGTTTCGACATTTTAAACGGACAAGTGGACCTGGTGAAATTTTCGCACAGTTCGAGAAGTAGAATACCTAATTATGTAAATAAGTATTTATCAACGAAAAGTATCTTATTATACAATGATAATAGATAGCATTATCATACATTCTTTATATATATTTATTCATGAACACTTTAAGTGTATTTTTCTTCAGTTACTTATTTTTCTTCAATATAGGCAATCATATGTTTAAAATGGTGTTTGAATTATTAAATTTGATTAAGAAGTTATGGCGTATCGACAAAAAACACCTTTGAGAAATAATTTTATACCTATATCAGTTTCAAAATATTTTATATCACTGTTATATAGTATAATAATAAATATAGTTTATAATCAAGGCTAGAGCAATCAACTTAATATATTCAAATGTAAAATTGATTTCAAATTACGAAATAAAAAATTGGGTAAAGAATTGATTATATAATCATCATCATCATCATTTCAGCCTGTTTGAGTCCACTGCTGAACATAGGCCTCCCCCACAGATTGCCATGAAGCACGATCCTGAGCCACATGCATCCATCGACTTCCCGCACATTTGCACAGGTCGTCACTCCATCTAGTGGGGGGTTGTCCCACACTGCGATGGCCAGTACGAGGCTGCCACTCGAGAACCTTTCTTCCCCAACGGTTATCGGTTCTACGAGCTATATGGCCGGCCCATCGCCACTTCAGCTTGCTAATCCTCTGAGCTATGTCGGTCACCTTAGTTCTACTGCGGATGTCTTCGTTACGAACTCTATCACGCAGAGAAATACCGAGCATAGCCCGCTCCATAGCTCGCTGAGCGACTTTGAGCTTCCTCATACGGCCAGCAGTGAAGGACCACGACTCGGTTCCGTAGGTCATCACTGGCAACACACATTGATTGAAGACTTTAGTCTTCAAACATTGAGGTATATTCGACGAGAAGATTTGCCGAAGTTTCCCGAACGCTGCCCATCCGAGTTGGATTCGCCGATTGACCTCTGCGTCGAAGTTGGACTTACCTAGCCGGACTAACTGTCCTATGTAAACGTACTCGTCAACAACTTCGAGCTCAGTGCTCCCAACAACAACCGGTACAGACGTGACATGGACATTAGACATGATCTTCGTCTTGTCCATGTTCATCTTAAGGCCCACCCGTTGGGAGACACTGTTGAGGTCATTGAGCATAGCACCCAGGTCCTCCAGCGATTCTGCCATGATGACTATATCGTCGGCAAATCGAAGGTGGGTGATGTATTCGCCATTGATGTTAATACCTCGTGATATATAAATTGTTGTTTAATTTGATTATATACTTGTCAAGTATATAACCAAAGGTTGTTGATTATTTAAAATTGTGCTAATCGAAGGAAAACGTGGGTGGTCATAAATTATCACTATATATTTAAAGATTAAAAATTATGATAAAATGTATAATGAATATAATAATATTTATAATATTATGTGTAAAGTTGCCAGTGCTGAAAGTTGACCATATGACTAAAAAAAATAAAAATTTTAACTTACACCCTGAGAGAGCAAAAACTAGCACATAAATAATATTAATCATAAAGCAAAATACATTACAGTTAACGAAAATTTTGTAAATTTAAAAAAAAATCATCAAATAATATTAATTTCATCCACGAAGAAAGAGCTAAAGAACCTAGCCTATACTTTTTTATGTGCTCGTTTATGTTATATATATTAATTGAAGAAGGTTTATCTTACAATAATACATGCTCAATAAAACACGAGATAAAATTATTAAGAAATTTAATTCGACTAATAAACTAAAACACTGTTTCCTTCAAAATTATGAAAACAAATTCTATTTCTAGAAACAGCAGCAACAAAACGGACCAATGGCGTAGAAGATACTCGACGTAGATTTGTTAACGAGTCTGTTTGCGCTTTATGTTGTCGGTTGGCGATTGGTCCATTTTCTCCGAGCCCACCTCGTACTGGGTGTCCAATCTTAGGGAGGCGAAGAACAAAGTCATATGATTAAAAAACAATACTTTATTATACGCCTTGTATAGGCCTTGTGGATATATAGTATAGTATAGTAACAGCCTCTATAGCTGGGCAAAAGCCTCCTCTATACAGAGGGTATCGGGCCATAGTCCACAACGCGGCCCCACTGCAGATTGGCGTACTTGACATATCTTCGAAATATTTTTTTGTTATTATTTCGAAAATATGCAGGTTTTCTCACGATGTTTTCGTTTACCGCGGAGCGCGTGATAAGTCAGCACTTAAAGTTAAAAACTTAATTGGTGCGGGCATCGGGGATCGAACTCAGGTTGTTCGAGTATATTGAATTAAAGGCGAGCGCCCGGACACTGAGCTATCGCGGCTCTTTTGGGGATACCACTGCTTTTCTTGGAATAACTCTTGATTCAAAGCTTCACTGGGGCCGCCATATATCCGAACTTACTAACAGACTAAGTTCTGCAGTATATGCTGTGAGGAAAATAAGATGTCTGACTGATGTAAATATGTTGTTTTTTTTTATTTGAAGGTTAATAATTTTTATTATTATTTTTTTCTTATTACATTGAAAGATTTTTCACGCCATGTCTTCAACACAAACATAGTTTTTAAAAGAAAATTCTGTTGTTTTTTTTGCTATTAGCGAGGGATGCAATATATTAGGGAGATATAATTCACAGGGAAATAAAGTGTATCTATAGGTTGCAATTTTAAATCAGGCTCGATAGACCACCTTTATTTCAGACACCATGCAATAATTTCACAGTTTCAACCCGATATCATTGCCAGAACCACCACGATTAAAGGAAAATGATTCTTATGGGTATGATTTTACGGCTGATTACAATATTCAATCTACAGATAGATTTGGTTACTGGAGATTTGGATTTTGACGATTTTTTAAGTATTATGGAGCTAATGTCAAATACCTTTTTCTTTTTTTATTAACGTGGTGGAAATGCCTACGCATACCCGCCCACGCGGGGGCGAGAGCGGGTTATGTCGGACTCGCATCGACTAAAACCCCCACGATATTCCACCTAGGCACATATCGGCAGAGCCACGGGAACGCTTTCGCACCCTTCCGCAACCCCGCCAGCGCTGGCCGCCTCAGCAGCCCCCTCCCGGGGAGCAACCCCCTCTCCTCCAGGCAAGGCGCGCTGGAATATTCAGCACGCCTTCCTACTCGGCCCCTTTTTCATGGCCAACGAACTCCCCCGAGTTCGCTGACCAGAGGCCATGGGAGCAAGGAGAGCCCGTGCCAAAAAGCAGCAAGTCTCCCAGCCCCCAGAGGCGGACCTGGTCTGTGGCTCCGCCGCTCACCACGTTTCTGTCGCGGAGGGTAGGGAGAACGGCGCATCGCACTCCTCTTCCCCCGCGACAGAAGACAGGGAGAGTGGCTCCACCTCTACCACCCTCGTCCTGTACCCTGCACACTCCAGGACGCATCCAGAGTGGGCTCAGAAAACGCGATAAAATCCGTAAACTAGTCATTTAATATGTATAATATTCACGTAAAATCAAGAAAACAATAAGAAGGAGGTTCTCAATTCGACTGTATTTTTTTTTATGTTTGTTACCTCAGAACATTAAAAAAATGGACCTGTTTACGCGTCTGTATCGAATAAGGGCGACTTTAAATTATCACCGAATTGATTCAATATGCCGACAACCCCGGCGGCTTCGCTCGTAACGCGCACTAATCAAAGGCGAAATGCACGGGACCCTAACAAAGGAGCCTTTCTCACCGTAGTGCCCCAGCACTAATACGCGGCCTCGTAGTTCGAATCGCAAAACCGACACCTTAACCGTTCTATAAGGTTCAAAATCGAATGCATCCGCACACGGTAAACTATACACGGTTAACACGTGCGATCTAAAATATTAGGGCTTCGAACGGGGCCCTTTGTGGCCCGTTTTGTAATTATCCAAACTATAGTATAACTGTGCGACGTGTAGCGTAGGCTTTTCATTGAAATTGTTCGTGGATAGAAATTTTGAATCAAGTAATAAAATGACGCTTCGTGTTACCGACAAGAAATATTTAAAATTAATTTTAATAAGATTAAAATTCCTCTTAAATGTTTCTTATCGGTAACACGTATCGTTCTATCTTCTAACATCCTAAGAAGAGACCTTATATTTAACATTTTAGTCCTTTTAAAATGCTTAACATAAATTTTTTCCAGCTTAGCGCATGTCACAAAATCTTCTTTTCTTCCACTTTCGCCTGACCTCATCCCACCTAGTTACGGTCAGCACAACTAGGTTTTTGACGGCCGGCCACGTGTCAGACGTCAACCCTCTTTGGAACAAACCCAGATCCGGAAACAATTGTCCGTGGGTCACACAAATTCTTATCCCGTGTGGGAATAAACCCACGACCCCCCCTGCTCAAGCCAACAAAGATATCTTATGCCACAGAATCACTAAAACTAAATAATAACTTTTTATACGCGGTGACAAGTGTGTGATAGTGTTACCGCCGATATTATGAGAGTTTGCAACGCCTATAAAACAAAATACAACTGTAAATAAAGGATCGCGCAGGCATAGATCGCCTCGATCACGACGATCCGCCACCAACAGAAACAAATAAAAGGACTTTCATAAATCATTCAAGTGTCGCGAAATTTGTAGAAAAATTTAATCGTCAATGACAAATTAACCCACATAGAATAAGACAAGCTGAAACTGTGTTAGGGCCATGCAAGTGTTCTCTGTTGCACGGATGGGCAGGTCTGTCCGGGCCTTACCCGGAAGGCGGAAGGTAAGTACCACGACCTCACAGAAGACCGGCGTGAAGCCTCACAGAAGACGAAGAAGTGTTATACGTCGCCGGAGCCCACTTTATTACAAAGTGGCAACGTATAACCTAAGGGTGTTGCAAATGACAATGGGCGGCGATTATCACTTAGCATCAGGTGAGACGCCAGTTCCCTTACTCACGTAAAACAAGGAAAAAAAAAAAAAAACCGGCCAAGTGCGAGTTGAACTTGCACACGAACGAGCGCCCCATGCGAGCCCCACTTAAGTATTTATCTCTTCTGTTTTTTTAGTATTTGTTGTTACAGCGGCAACAGAAATACATCATCTGTGAAAATTTCAACTGTCTAACTGTCACGGTTCATGAGATACAGCCTGGTGACAGACGGACAGACAGACAGACGCTCCCCGTGGGGTAGCAGTTGCCATGGCAACACAGCGTGCGCCCATGTCAAAGCCGAAACAACTCGAAGCATTTTTAGTGGCGGGAAAAGAACATATCTACTGCTTAGTTTCATGAAATTAAATACATTTTGTCTGAGGAGGTATTACTGTAAAAATAAAGAAATAAAATATTTCAGGAGACATTTAATGAAACCAACCAACTCTAATTTAATGTAATTTAGTCCCAAACTGGGTATATGGTTACTAGATAACTGATAAAAATAGTTAAACATACTTTTCTTTTGTAAATAAATACATAATATAAATATAAAAACACTGGAAAAATGATATTTTTCCAGTAGTGGGGATCGAGCCCAGGATCCAACCCTCTGGCGCAAGAGACAGGGTCACTACGCCATTCAGGCAAAAGGGGTACAATTTAATGAAATTGGTTCTGAAAGAGATTATTTTTCACTAGATAATGCTCGTTTTTAGAACAATAAAATATATTTCAAATATTAAAAGGTAATATTCCAAAGTATATAGATCTGTTAGGAGCGTGATCGTACAGTATTAGCAACATCCAAATTCAGCTTTTTTTGTTTCTCTTAGAATTACAACACCAAATGTTAATAACAACAATAAACAACAGCATTACACATATTAAATATTTGAAAGATTCAACACACTAAGTCCTTATCGTGACTCTTATAAAGATATAATCAAGAAATTATACTATTTTAAGATAAGTATAGTTAATTAATACAAGTATATTATTATTAATAATTTAGTGTAATAATTGAAAATACCGCAACTTTTTACCACGCCCCTAATAAATAAATACATCAAGAGGCATTTTTGGTAAAAACACTTTTTTTTCCGCCTAACCAGTTTCATTTTTTTTATTAGCTTTAAAAATTTTATTCAAAAAGCTCTAAGTGGCTCAATCTGATGTTAATGAATGTGCTTGTGATTCCGAGGTGACATGACAGGAATCTGCTTAAGCTGCTTACTTACCTTTGAATTTTTTTTCATCCAATTTCCTCTTACCATCCATTCCATCAAAACACAGTGCGTTCATCTACGGCGCTTGGTCCGTTCCGGCGATGATGTTGAATTTTTTAATTTTTATGTGAAAAGGCCGCAAGCAATCTGGCGATTCACCTGATGTAAGTAATATATTTGCAACAGGCGGAGGGTTGCAGATGCTACGTTTTAATAAAGTGGTCCCTAGCTACCTCACTCACCAGACGAAACGCAGAAGTATTATACTACTAGTATACTAGTTGCAGTACAGCTTCTTGACTTGTTCCCCCATTTATAAGTACATAAACTAGGTACACGCGTATGTATCCTAAACCATAAAAACAGATGTCCCTGGCTTTCCACGGAATAACATCTATATTTACCGTTCCGTGATAAATCAAATGTTTTCTGCAGCATTATTAGTGAATTAAATAAACCATACTTCACTCTATTGTACATTTACCCTTTTTTAGTTAATAAACGTACTGGTTATTGACTAAATATCTCTATGTACGTGGATCTCGATTGAACCCAAATCGGAATAATAGTACTAAGATGACAACACCGCATGTCGTTTGCACCCTAATAGGCCTGGTTACGAATTTCCAACGATTCCGCTCATCAATAATCGATACCACCATTGATATAGTGATGTATGCTCATCGATTGCAAGTTATACATTGTCGATATCGCGTCACGCTCAGATACAGAGGTGGAACAATATGTTTTCCATCGCCCTGGCGTATATCAAGTGGCACCGGGATTATACATGCGGATTCTTATCCCGACGCCATTTGCAAGTCACCTTCGAATTTACCGGTCGCCCACCTATGCAATGTGCTACACGCACAACGATGGAAACCGCCCGGGGAATTACGGGTCAAAGTCCGAGGGGTCAAAAAAGTTGGGGCGGTGCTGTATCCGTGGTAGAGACTGTCACAATTGGTTTGAGACATTAATATTTCCAAATGGTCGTTGGTATCCACTTCTGGACGAAACTGGTACGAAAAACGCAGTGCGAGATAATCACACGCCCATTTGGACTATCACGACAGTTGAGGTTTTAGTACACGTTTATTTTATAATCGGTATATGACAAACAGGTTGTTTTTATGTAATTACTAATTAACTTATATATGTTATGTCTACGTATTTTTAAATACGTTGTCACTGCACTCATATGTAGCTCATAAAATCTAAATGTAAGGTAAGTGGCTCCGTAATTATTAAAGTCTATCTACTAATCCTCAGATCAAAAAAAATATAAAAAGCGATGAAAATAACTTTTAATTGTTTTTGAATATTTCTGATAATATTTTACTAGATCAGGCAAATTGTAAATAATTGTAAAGTCTATAAAACAAAAAGTACCAAAGCGCTATAGGTAATATATTTCGAACGAGAATTGTCAAGCAAGACACTTTACAAAATGTAAAAATGTATTTTGCAATTTAAAGCGCTCAAGGCTTTATCTCGGAGTCAACGTACGACTGAACGAAATTGAATTTAAGAATAAATGTCCGAAGCGAGAACTGAAACAGTTTATTTTATTAGAGGTCGTCCTACAGAGTTTTTTAGAACAATATCTCGGTAATCATTGTATGTTCCATCATTGGAGGTATTTAAAAAGAAAAACCACTTCGATACAACAAGTCGTAGTAAGCATATTTTTGATTTACGAACGATTAAAACAAAACCGACTATAGGTATCTCGCTCTGTATTCATTTTATAATTGATTTTCAGGAGTTCCCTAAGCATCTCCGGAGCCCAAGATCCAATACCAATGAAATTAATATGGGACCACACGGGAAGCACCAGCTTTCAAATAAAAAAAAATTATCAAAATCGGTACACTCCGTCGAAAGTTCTGATGTTACAAAATAATAAAAAAAATACAATCGAATTGAGAACCTCCTTATTTTTTGAAGTTAGTTAAAAAATATGAATAAAAACATAAAAGGTACAATTGGCAAACCACAGTCTGATTGTAGTAAAACCATATCAACTACTTTGATAGCATTCATCAATCGAAACATAAAACGGGGACACAAAAGTTCAAAGCAATAATATCAATCATCACAACGGAATCATTAGGTTTACGCTCCGAAAAATCCGACCAAAGGCGAAACAAAAGAACTGTCATATAAAGCAACGCACACACTCCGACAAATGAAAACAGTCGTTCGAGTTATTCGCGCCGTCATCCATCACAGATATTACAGACAAAGGCTTTTAGCGGGACAAAAGCGCGCCAACCCTTCCGGCGCAATTTTGTTTTTAACGCTGACGCGGCGCGGATTCGCTTTCTATTAATTAGAATTGCTCATTCCCTTAATAGTTTCGACCTTTGCGACTGCAGTGACACATTTGACGGCGGAGCTGGTCTCACAGAGCCGACGTTGCAGCATTTTTTTTCTTTTTTTTTAATTGTGTCCCGGCACTAGCAGTCAGCATATTTTCTTTTTAACAAACTGGCGGAGCGCCAACTTATTCCGCCTTTGAAAAGTCTTATAATAATATAATGCAAGCGAGCAAGCGTCCAATGCGATGACATAAAATCAAATGAAAGGCTTAAAATTATATCTCTTTCATTTGCGCAAATTCATTCGATTTCTGACTTCATAAAGGGAATTGGATAGCAGCAGGTTCTATTGCCAGCTTACAAGAATTTATGCCGAATGATAAATCTTACGTATTAAAAGCATTTGTTTCGTAGTTGTATGTAAGAGAGCAGAAGTGGCCCCATGTAATTAGAAAGAAGAAAGAAAGAAAGAAATGTTTTCTTGGTAAAAAAAAATAACAAAATAATGAAGAATTATCAGTCGATGAACCAAAAAGGTCACCCACTCAGAATTACATTACGAAAAAAAATTATACTCAATTACAAGAATCGCAGAAGGTCTCAAATGTACACGCCTAGCAACTATAATTATATGCTAAATATTTTGTAGTAAGGTAAAAAACCATATTACAATAAATTTGTCGCAGTGTGCATTTTTAATTTATTGTAAAACCGTTTAATGTAAATATTGGGCATAAAGCGTACAAATAATGTCCACCGCATTAAAGAAGCGTATAATGCATCAATAATATACAGTTTTTTCAACTCTCTCCCCACATCTCATTGATTTCAACTTTCCGTGAGATTTACATGGAATCTCCTCAGACAAAGGAATAACGAGGGGTCAACGCACCGATTCTATAATTCCTTTTTACCCCATATACCAGGTCATCGTGTAGTTCCTTTGACAACTGCCCTATTGTCGTTTTGCACGTGTTTATAATCTGTGTTCCCGCTTCGGTGTATTATAATAGCTCAATAGCTCACATTCAGAATAAAGTCTTTCTCTTTTCAAAAGTGTTGTTTTGTGTTACCGTGAAAGAGTTAGAAGGGATGGTTAGAGGTTTATTATTACACCCGGTTGAGTTTAACACGATTTTGAACATGGTTAAATGAAACTATTTTACGGATTTTATCGCGTTATTAAGTTTATAATGACGAAAAACCTAGAAAGGCTAAGGGCCTCTAATTCCTTAGCGAATTTAATTCGGGATGCTTATAATCAAATAACTGACGAAGATTGCATTTAAAGAAACAAAGCAAATACTCCCACTAGGCAACAGATTCTCCTCCATCACGAGTCGAGAGGCTCGTCCGTGGAAGTCCAGAGCCTCACAAGATATCATCGTTAAGTGAAAACATTTATAGATAGCGTTATGAGTGAGAAAGCTAGTCCCGACTCTTTCGAAGGTCGGTGACGCCAGCTACCCTTAAGGCATTGTCGATGATGGTGGTAACACTTCATCATAATCAACATTTCAGCCTGTTTGAGTTCACCGCTGAACATAGGCCTCCCCCACAGACTGCCACGAGGTGCGATCCTGAGCCACCTGCATCGACAAACGTTACACTTAAAAGGTAAACCGCTTCTCCCGGATATAATAAGGACTTACCTCAAGCTGCGCAAACGACAGTCGGAGATGACGCTGAGGCGGGAATGGCGCTCAGAAACCAAGGGCGGTAAGGCAACCCGCGAACGTACGCCCAGGCTGTCGGGACAATCAAATCTTTACCGTGATTTTTACTGCGATAGAATTTTAACTTCGGTAGCGTCACGCAGCGGCTTCGGCTGTTGCACGAAAGGGCAAGTCCGACCGGGTAAATACCACGGAAGATCGGCGTGTATTTGAAGTACTTCTGCGTTTCGTCTGCTGAGTGAGGTAACCGAAGCACACTTTATTGAAAGGTTGCAACGCATCGGCAACCCTACGGGTGTTGTAAATGTCCATGGGGGGCGATTATCACTTAACATCCGGTGTACCGCCAGGTCGTTTGCCACCGCCTCACAATAAAAAAAAAATGATGGAGCCGCTCGGCAGTTTCTGCTGCTCAATGGGCCGACTTTTACGCCATTTTATTGCACCTGCATAAATAACTCACAACAACATGGGTTGACTGGTAGAGAATGGCTCAAGGCATTAAGTCCGCCTTTAGTGTGTTTCTATTTCGAAGGTAACTCAATAAAGATTAAATAAATATTCTATCCTCCGTTGTAATCACTTACTATAAGGCCACCAGCTCGTTTGTTCGTCTCATTACCTTTTAAAAGAGCAACATTTATGTTATTCGCAACTTCAGTCGCGGCAATCCACGATTTCATAAAGGCCCCAAGAGATGCAAGATAGTCATGCTACAAAATTTAAAATGTAAATGTTATTCTAATATTCTCACGATGTCCACAAAGTAGTCCACCGCTCAACCCAAATCCCTAAATCCTGATAACTGACTCGATGATAGAACGTTGCCAGAACAGAATAGTTAATTCTCGGATGGCCTGAAGACCCCTCCTGATGGGCATCACCTGGTGGAAGGCGGTTGGGTGATGAGGGGACGTGAGGACTTGACAGAAGCGTCGCCACTCCCCCCGGCTCCGCTGGCCCGCGTGGTCGTGGACAGCTTCTTTGTGGAAGCCACCTAGCCGCGCCAAGTTCAGCGGATGAGAATGGAAAGGTGGTGCATTGCTTATCTTATGCAGAATGTGGCAAACTTACACGTGCAATGACGGTAAACGATCGCCACCAGCCATTCACGTTCGCACAACCGCAAATAGTTGCCACCCCTCTATATACGTTCTTCTTGAGCACGTCTTATCATCATCATCATCATTTCAGCCTGTTTGATTTCGATACGTTACGTCCGCCAATTGGCAGCGAAAGTTACTATAATTTTTCTTAGTTAGGGGCAATGCAAAGGCCGAATGTTCATCGATCAGAGTCCATAGAAATGTTACAGTTTCTATGCTATCCTTAGAATAGGTCACTGTAGAGAAATGGATGTAGTAATAAATAACAGGTCAATTTTCAAACGATTGTCAACGCATCTTGAATCCTCTTGTGTTGAAGTTGTCCATGGGCGGCGGTATTCATTCAACATCGGGTGAACCGTCTGCTCGCTTGGCAACTTTTCACACATAAAAAGAGGTCGCAGAGGTTTTATGTAGTTAGGTTTTATGACTTGCTAATATTTATTCGTAATTTTCGTAATTCGTAGTAATTGAGCGCCACATCGACCTGATATGTAGGAAGTATCGTATTCGTTGCGGTGTTGCCGTAACAGACACATTACAAAGACATCTTTAATGCATCTGTTATATAGAGCGTGGTAGACAAATAGGGATTTTCTTATATAATAAGAAGTCGACCGTACATTTTTTGGAACCGTTCAGTTAATTCTAACTAACAAAAAAAAATTCGTTATTTGATTTTTTTTAATACCAAAAGACTGTTTATCGAGTTTTCTACATGTTTTAACCAAAAGACTGATTATATGATTTAAGGTCATATATCTCCAACCTAAACACGGCCGAAGATTTTGTTAAATCATACCACATTCAGAGACTCTTCTTTCTTTACGACTTTCTCATTGCTGTAGTCAACAATTTTCTGTAGGACCTCGCTTTCCGCTGCCAGTATGTCTTCGGAAATGCGTTTTAACGATGTTCCACTATCGTCCTGAACAAAAAGACACCAGAATACTGTGCTTGTTGTCAGCCCACTTCAAAATGGAAGAGTTCGTTCTCAATTTGGTTGCTTTTTTCACCTAAGAACTCCGTTATTTACAAAACGATTTGTAATTTTTTTTGTTAGAAAAGGGACATATTCAAGAGGGTCCCATTTAATTGGTATTGGACTTTTAGAAATATTGGATTTAGAAGATGAACCAGGGAAGTAATCAAAATGCAAAATGATTAGGATATTTGAATCGGTTTTGTTTTTTTGATAAAAGTTTTATACTTTATTTAAGATTCAGTTCGATATAATAAGAAATCAAAGGACGCAAACAATTGAATAGTAATGTTTTGGATTCCCTTTTTCATAAGATCCTTCATAGACTTGGTCTTTACTAAGAAAATAAATTAATGAGAAAAAATAACGACAGATATTCACGGAGGTATTTGAGCCTAGAAAAATATATTTTTTTAACAAAACATACCTCTTATTCTATTCTATAAAATTGCATTAACCGAAAAACAATAATTAAAATTACAAGTTCAATTTACGAAAATGATCGACAAGCGAGATCAAGCGAAAAATTTTACATGAACGAGAAATAAAAATACTTATTTCTTCATTCAAACTTTCGTTCAGATATAAACTTTAAAAGTATATTAATTGCGGCTGAAAGGAAATATCTGTCCTATTAAAGGAGGAAGGATATTTCTGATTAAAACAATACTAAAAAAATTCAACACTTACATAATCTTGGGAATCGGTAACTTCACTGGTACGTGCCGTATCCGTATCCAGATTCAAATTAACTTTCCCAGGAAACCTAAGTCGATATAAATAAACTCGAATAAAGTTCAGCAGAGTTTTTAGACACATACAAAAGAAAATATAGAAGATTAACTATATAAAACCTTCGATTTTATACATGAAATTAAATTTCGTTGGCGCCTTTTTAAAGAAGCTAGCAGTTTTAGTTTACTAGGAAACCGATTTTATTATTTAGTGATTTAGTGATTTTATTTTTTAGTATTTTTGTGACTAATTGAAAATAATAACAAATACCAATTTTATTATTTTAATTACAATGCAAATGTTTTTTTAATTATTTCTAACGCTCTCAGCGATGTCAATGTTGAGAAAGTAGGAGTGTAATAATTAGCTAGGTACTTATTTTTATTTGAATTAAGATCAATGTAACAAATGTGATTTTATGTTTTTATTCAATTAGTTATTACAATACCTACATAGATAACAGATTTTATTATTGAGTTAGTAATTGTAATTAACACAAAATCTAAATTGAATTACGTAGGTAGGCAACAGAAACTTTCTCAATGTTAAAGAAGCAGGGGTATTACAACTACAGCTACTTGATTTAATTTAAATTCAATAAGTGTTAATGTTTAAATCAATCTGTTGATATAAATTAGTGATTATTATTTAGTTAAAATAAAACCAAAGTACAATTTATGCTAAGTGAAAGCACCGACTAAAGGGCTTTGCATGGCAACCTCGCTCTACCCTGACCACAAATAGGTAGCTCGCAACTCTTATAATATAATATTCTTCTCTACTCTTATTATAGCTTACCAGCATTCGCGCGGTATCTCCTCAACGATCGGATAATCTAAAGAAGACGAACTAGGGCCAGCATGTAGACTCTCCTTTGATTCGTCCTCTGAGACCAGGAGTCGTTGCTGACAATACGCGTCTCGGGGCGAAGGCTCCGGTGGATCGTCGGGCTGCCAAGAAGCTTCGCGCTTCGGTATGAAGCAAGCGGGAGAAGCGCTAACGTCTTCCCCGGGATCATGCCGATAAAAGTACCTTTACACACCAAACAGACCTTTGCAATCCATCTCTTCTATCAAAATACTGATACACTGCCTGCGCTCAAGATGAAATTTAAATGTGGGTTTTATTGTTATGTAAAAACAATTTATGTCAAAAATTTTTGACAAATCGATATAAGGCGCCTAATTAGTAACAGACATCTCACAAATCCTGGATAGACGGTATGAATATTACGAAAAACTACTGAATGACAAATTCCCAAATGAAGACGTTACATCCTGAAAATCTACATTTCTCGAACGTGCAATAGCCAAATTGAAAAATGTATGGAAAGGCCTTGGACGTAAAACGGTAGTGTGGCTCATCAAGCTTTTCAACATGATACATGACTAAGTACATCCTGGACTCATGGCGCCAAACATCCCTTCTATAAAAACAAGGTAAGGCAAAAGCCAGAGGTATGGAATTGCCCTCACATTCACGTAAAATATGGACTCACTGACATTTCTAAAATATCTCCAATTTAGTTCGGTTTTACCGTTTACAGCATCCAGATGAAGTACCGATGCCATCCAAACAATTAGAATAATGATGGAGAAACATAAAATGAAACAAGGGCATTTATCGACCTAATATAAGCCTTTGACCAAGTTCCACGTATGCAGGTATGGCAGGGCCTAGTGCCCAAAATGTACCTGAGTATTTTATGGAGATTTATGAAGTTTTTACTGCAGTGCCAACACGAAATTCAGATGCTATTTAAAAGTTGGCAAGCGAGCTGGCGGTTCACCTTCGGACATTTACAAAAACCGATAAACTCACTCACCAGACAAAACGCGAAAGTATTATACTTCCACTTCAAGCCGGTGAGTCCGTGATACTTCCCCGGACAAGACTGCCCATTCGTGCAACAACCGAAGCTGCTGCTGGTCCTACCACAGTGTGCGTATGCATCACCCAGGAGAAGGTAGATTCGATTCTAAGCAGCGCCGAAAATTTTTAAACAATTTATCTGTTAATCATTACCCAAGGAGGGTCGGGGCCGGTCGTAAAAATCATAGCCGAAACCGCTTACAACATTACTCACATGTTGTGTCGTCACCACCTGAATGGGATAAGGGGAGGAGGATGATGAATTTATCTATTAATCTCGCACTTAAAGGGTTACTAACTTAAAAGCTAAAATTGTGTGCTACGAGCATTCCGCTTTTAAGTTCTGCTAAGTACAAAACCGTTGGTGGTGTGTGACGTTGTCCTCGACGGTAGCCTTGATCAGTCGTAAAAAATTAATCTAGTAGGTAAACGTACCAATCGACTACCTGAAGCCAAGCTTTCATCGCGCAATGTACGGTAAATGTTATGTTTTGCCTTTCCATGTAATGGAAGTATCCAACTTTTAACGCATTTTCAATAATTTCTTCTCGGATGTCGAAAATCACCAAGTCATTTTCTTCTTTTTGCAAAATTTCAAACCTATGGAAGCAATACATTTTATGTCATTATGTTTATAAAACAGAGTGACTAGTAATAAATAGTATCGATGCACTTTACCACGTTCTTTCTGGTATTTCTTTTGGTAACGCCGTAATAATCTTAGAATCATCGAAGACACTTAACTTTCTACCTCTTCTTGATAATTTCAACTTATTTTTACTACTTAAAATCTTAGTCGTGTTACTCATTTTTTTAAATATATACCATTATATTTTTCTTGTTAACTTTGAGTTACTCAATATGTTTTAATTATTTGAAATGTTTCGGTTATTTGATTACCCGAACAATGATGTTTTGATTTTGACATTCATAGAGCAAGAGCACAGTAAAATATAATATATATTTCGATCAAGCTGAAGCAATATAAATAAAGCAAATATTTTCACCTCAAACCACCTCTGTTATCTCAAAGCTAAACGGCCCTAAATTAGATTTATTGTTATCAAAAAAAGATAACTTTATCAGTACGCTTAGTCAAGAGAAAGCTTACTTATAGTACATAGTAAGCATGTATTACATATACTAAACGTAGTTTTTATAATACTTACTTATTATGATCTTCTCATGCGTTGTATTAAATCGAATGAAATTATCAAAATAAAGCAAACCGTGGCCGGAAATAATATTGCCTATGGTTTTGTGATTTGACAGTTATTTCAAAAATAAACAGAACGCCAAATACAAAAGTCACAGGGTTTAATTGTAGAATATTTGAAATGCAAAAAATGTTAAATACTTTAGTTCATTGAACAGTTGACTTTATAAAATGACTATTAAATAATGAGTGATTATTTTCCGTGTTTAGGTTTTATTGTTTGCTGACAATGTATACTTTGAAAGGTATATTCCCAGAGCCAAGTAAGTGCCGTTGAGTTCCGTTTTTATAATTTTTTCATGGCTATCGTGATGTAATTTACCTATTCTGATCGACTCTTTTTTAAACTTTTCAGAGAAGGAGCAAAAAAAGAATTTTATTAAAGAAAATATGAAACAGCTCAAATTTATTCAAGGTAAATCACCAAGGGAGCCAGAGTTAATGGTAAAAAAGAATCAGCAAACGCGACCAATACCCTTACCAGCAGAGAGTTCCCTTAATCATGTCAAATCTTCGACGTCTGGCAAAAACAAGCCATCGTTAAATGTCGCAAAAAGTAATTCACCAAGTTTTCGCAAAAGGCGCCCAGATATTCGAATCAAAAAGGGTGACATGGCAGAATTTCTAAAACGAAAGGAACTAAGACAATGTAAAAATGTTGATGAAGTGCCAGTCGACGACGATGACGCAGCTTCAGATTCGTCAAGTCGCCTTAGAGATGTTGGCTGCCAAACCATAGAATCCAATCTGGCTCAGAAATTAGCTGATAGTACTAAATTAACGGTACTATATCCGAAAAAGGAGTCTGAGGATAATGCAAGTAAAGAAAATGCTTGTGGTGATTCACCTACCAATAGAATTGCCTCACCAATCCAAAGAAATTCTAGCAGAGCTGGGGATGATATGTTAGAAATGGATAAAACTCACAGTCGTCTAAATGCTATTCTGGAAAGAAAAGGGAAAGACCCATATTTACCTACAGGTAGTGTTACTTATTTTTCTTTAATCATTTACTGCATTTGGCAAATAATAAAAAAACACTATTTTTTTTTCTCATATAATCTAGATGAGGTGCACATCATATGAACAATGTTGTTAATGATATTGGCTAGTTTTTCACAATTGGAAGTTTTTTAAGAAGAGTTTTTTCACAGCTGTTTGATGTCAACCCTTCTTGGGTGTAACAATTTTCCGAGGGTCACATAAATCTTCTCATGTGGGAAATTGAATCAACATTTTCCAGAGCAATTCAATAACTTAGCAACAATAAAATTTGTCACTAGTCTCAAACACACATAAATACAAACTCAAATCAAAATTTCTTTAATAAACTATTTTGCTTTTACTCCATCAGGTTACCAGAAGGGTGTTGTACCGAAATATTTAAGAGAACGCAAGGAACAAGGGCCAAAGGAGATGGAAGGGGCTAAGGCTGATGATGCAGCATGCCCGCCTGGCCATGTCCCTCTACCAGATACTGAGAGGAAGGAGACATTGCGGATGCTGAGAAATAGTTTGTATATTGAATTTATTAAAGTAAAGTTACAGCCTATATATATCTCCCACTGCTGAAAAAAGGCCTCTGTGGTACAGAGATAATAAGGGCATAGTCCACCATGCAACCCCACTGTGGATTGGTGGACTTCACATATCTTCGAAATATTTTTTGTTATTGCTTTGATAATATACAGGTTTCCTCAAGATGTTTTACTTAACCGTGGAGCACATGATAAGTCAGCACTTTGAATAAACAATTTCATTGGTGCCAGCACTGGGGATTAAACTCGGGTTGCATGAGTATACTGTATTAAAAGCGAGCATCCGGACAGTGGGCTATCACAGTTCTTATTTTTATCTATTTATATGAAGCTTCACAATCCAAGTCGACTTCAAACAATTGTGCACTGTGACTAAACTCTTGACAATTAAAAGCTTCTGTAATTAATATTCAAATTGAAAAATTTATTAGTAAAACACTTTCATTTAAAAGTAAAATGAAATGTTTATAAAACTATATATATACATAATATATAATTACACAATGTTTACTTACTCTAAATGGATGTATAAAGAATATCTGATTTAATAACAGAGTATTTAATATCATACTAATTTGCTTACTTTTCGACCAGCTAAGCATAAATTTAACGTAACATAACGAAGACATCCGCAGTAGAACTAAGATAACCAATATAGCTCAGAGGATTAGCAAGCTGAAGTGGCGATGGGCCGGCCATATAGCTCGTAGAACCGATAACCAACCGTTGGGGAAGAAAGGTTCTCGAGTGACAGCCTCGTACTGGCCATCGCAGTGTAGGACGACCCCGCACTAGATGGAGTGACGACCTGTGCAAATGTGCGGGAATTCAATGATGCAGGTGGCTCAGGATCGTACTTCATGGCAGTCTATGGGGGAGGCCTATGTTCAGCAGTGGACTCAAACAGGCTGAAATGATGATGATGATGATGAAGCATAAATTTTCATAAATATACCAAAAAAGACAGAATATTTTAGCTGTTATGTTAATTAAGTCTTTTCATATCCAAAGAAACTAGATTAAACTTTTGTTTCGCCAATTGTACTTTGAGTCCAAAGACAATAAAACAGAAGAGAGTTATTTTATGAGATGTCAATCAAGTCACCTTTGTTACGTTTCAGGTTTTGCAGAACTTGTTAGCGAGCTTAACAAAATGCCTGTAAAGACAGACACACTGAGAATGAAAAACAGAAAAATGGAGCTGGAAAAGCAACTAGCGAAATTGGAAGAGGGCATCAAAGTATTTTCCAGACCAAAGGTTTTCGTCAAAATAGGAGAATAATATTTCATTGCCAATATTACCATAATGCAAAATTTCCTGCTCAATGTTAATAATTCGTTATAAATGATGATCTCTTATTCTTTTACTGATTCCATCCACTATTTTGTAAATGTGTGTTTAATGTAAATTCTTGTCAAAGGGAATGTATAAGTTAATTTGTATTTTATTTGTAGTATTAATGTATGTTATGATTCCTTGTAATGAATATAATGAGATTTGTTTATGTGCTATACAGTGATTTGGAATTTTAAATACATATTTTATGTTGGTTTCTAATTGATTTAATTAGTATTTCTGAGTATTTTGTAGGAGTAAATTCTGTTAGTCATGACTTTAAATCTTTAATAGACTTGGACCAGGGACAAAAAATATAAATTAATGTCTGGCCCAAGCATGTCTCCTTGTAATTTGCTCCTTAATACATTACTAACATACATTATTAACTCTTAGTGTATGTAATGATGTTGAATATTCATTACTTTTTATTATTCTTTCGCATAAAAAAAGTAGATTGGCAGACAAAAAAATTACTATTTTCTTTCCTTATATTTCAGTAGAAATCATATTTCTATAAAAGCACATATACAACAAAACTTGTACTATTTGAATTGCCAAAAAATAAGTACTAAATATAAATATCATCTAATAAAAAAAAGTTTTTTTTAAAGTTTTCTAACATGTTGAAATAAATGATGATTGAATATTATAGGGCCTTTTCTATATAGCATTTCATCATTATTATGCCAATCATAGAATGAGAAATCTGGAAAAAAGAATTTGATCTCCCTCTCTGCAGATCTGACTGAATCTGAAAATTTAATGAAAATATATTTTACCAGGGACTCAATAAACATTACAATATTTACTAATTCCAATAGCCAGGGAGTCAGTATAGATTGAGAGTCGAGAGCCAGGGCAATAAAATTAATAAATTGTATATTATTTATTGTACATAATGTGGCTGGCTGACCAGCTCCGTTCTCATATTTGAATAACTTTATATGTAATATATAATGTATATTATCAATTTCACCAGTAAATTCATTTTATTCGTAACAATGATAACATTTATATGCAGACGTGCATTCTACAGTTCCCTTATTTCTTCTACAGTTCTTTGTAGTAGCTGTTTGTGTGCACTACTATAACCAACTGGCAGGAAATCTACTACATTACTAATAAATTCAAACATTTTTTATCCTGTCTCTTGGTCCATTAATCATGATAATATTTACTGTGCAATTTATCTGGGATTGAAATTCTCCTTTAATGAATATAGCAATATATTTGTTTCATGTATTCTTACTGCTTATTATACATCATAAAAATAAGGTAAGTTACCTGATCCATGAGCAACATTCCTTGTATCGGAAATACCAAACATTCCCCTCAAACTGAAAGGCTGTTGGAATTGTGCTTTATATACTTTTGTGGGACCAAGCAGTCTCCTCCACAGCTCTATGGCATTTGTGTGACCAATTACATGTAAATCTAAGTGCCCACTGAAATGATAATTATTTAAAGTTACATAATACAATTTTAAGTATCCTGAACTTGGCCTATAGTGTAACTAAAATAATAATCAGAACAAGAATGGTATTTATGCAGAAATTGTAACATACGTACATAGATTACAAGATGAAATCTAGAACCGGTAATTAGATATAATCTTTTTGTTTATTTTTCATGAAGTGTTGTTTTTATGAAAAAGAATATTCATTATATACCTTGCCATGAAAGTGACTAGGCGGTTGAAGAAAAATTTTCCTTCATGTTCCTTGTAAAATTGGCCTGCTTTTTCCGTATCAAGAATAATTCTTTTCGTCTTAACCACAACAAATTTTTGTTTTAAAATACCTCTTATGTATGAAACTGCAATTGGATTTTTTACAGCATGCGGCTTTATAATGGCTAAAGTAAGTTGTAACTTTTCCATTGTATTCTGTAGACTGCCATTTCTTTTATACGAAACAATTGCCTAAAATTTTAAACTTTTATATTATAACGTGAACGTGATGGATGGGAAAACATTGGTATCGTCCTTAAATTTTTCAAAAGCAAAATATATAGGTATTTTGTCTGGCTGTAGGTACAAAATTTATTTATTTTTTGGAATATGAAAAGCAATACAATAATAATATTGAGAAAGAGTTCGCCTATTTAGATAATTTAATATTTAAATCAGTTGACAGTTCATTTTATAACGAGACGAGATGTTTTGTCAAATACAAAATAATTTAATTGGCACAGATGACATATATTTCTTTCTAAAATGACGTGTTTTCTTTTATATATTAACATAGTGTTAGCCTATTTATGCGTTTATATTTTATATTGACTAGAAAATTAGTCTTACTTTATAAACGATTAGAATATTGTCGATTAATTATAAATATATGTTCGAT